TCTCAGGGCCATGGTTATAGCTTTCACACCTCTTTCTACCACACTTTTTCCTTCCTCTCAATTTTCCAGCCAACTTCTCCAGTAGAGACCTTTGGTGGCTTAGCCACCTTGCGGAGGTTTTGATGACTGTCAGCTGGACAATTGTTTACAATTTCCCATGATTGTGTGTTAATTTTTATTTTATTTTATTTTATTTTATTGCTGCTCTTGAGTAATTGTCTAACTTTCTGGGAAGCCAAACTGATTAATTGTGATAGTTAATAATATTGCATGCAGTGATATTTTGGTATAAAGTATTTTTGCAGCTGTAGGAATAATTGTTGCTTATCTGTTTTAAACAAAAGCAGTTATATTATATTTTGCCTTTTTAAAATGTACTTTGGACTAATTCTGTGGTATTTCAAGGTTAGCATCCTGCGCTAACAAACACCCATCAATGCCTATCATGATGGACAGCTTCTCGACTACAAGAATGAGAGATGCACCTGAACAGAAGATAGGAAATTTTCTGGTTTTACTACAAAAATAATTTCCTGTAAACTGAAAAATTTTCTCAAATGGGCCGAAATCATCAAGTTGAAACTGTTTGCAGACCATAAAAAAAAAACATGCTGACTGTTTAAAAACCCTAAAAAGTTTGTGATTTTGTTTACCAGCTCAGCAAATAGTTATTTTTGAGGGAAATGGATCTGTAAATCATTAAAGATACAAAACATAATGGTTTGGTAAATATGTTTTATTAAAAAATAAATGCAGACAGCTGCTTTTGAGTAAACATTGATGGATATTTGTGAACTGATTTACCATGAAGTTAAAATGAAGGACATTTATTAAAATATAAACATTGTGTTGTTCTTAACATTTTTGATTGTAATGAAAAAGTTTCCACCTGAAATGTATTATTTTTAAACTGGACACTTGCTGTTTCAGTATGTCAGCCTGAATTAGACTTGAAAATTCAAGCTGCCAGTTATGGAATTTCTGTACTTTCTACTTTACTTATAAAAACATTGCAAACCAAAAGCAAGCAACACGGGGGGAAAGACTACATAGCAACAGACTTTGTGGTTCATAGGTCAGAAATGTAGGCTGCAAGTTTTCCGTATTTGAGTAAAAATTATGTCTTATTTACCGAACATGTTGTAAACTTCGAGCTTGAATTGTTGAACTCTGGTATTTCAAGCTGACTGCAGTTCCCCGCTTGACCTCTACGTGGAGCTAAACACGGATTGGCGGCTTAACAAGCTGCTGCAATATCGTTGCAACAAGGAGAAACCTCCATTTCAGCCAACAACAAGCTGACCCAGTCTCACAGCTTATGGTTTTAGTTCCTCCGGAGAGAGCAGATTACAAAACATCTTACACAAGAAAAACACCACGAGCTTTGGACTCATTATATAACACACAGCCGTCTGGCTTAATTTTATCATTTATTGTGTTGTTTTGTTGTTGTTGTTGTTGTTATTGTTGTTGTTGTTGTTGTTTTAGTTTGCTTTTATTCGTATTCAATTTTATTCAGAAAACCTCAATAAATTATGTGGGAAAAGAACACATTTTTTACTGGGAAATCCAGCTCCAGTTCAAAGCACTGACCTTTGATAAACTCGGCAATGGTGCCCTCTAGTGGTTACAAAGAAGTAAAACACTGTACAGTTTCCTGGAGGAAAACATACGTCTCGTCAGTGCTTTTGATTATCTTAATGTCTTTCCTTTTTAAAGCTTTTTGTTGTACACTTTGATCTCTTGGGCTCAAAAGTTTTTTTTTTTGTTTTTTTTTTTATTCCAGTTGGATCAGTTTAGCTCACTTTAGTTTGTTTAACGTACATTAAACAACATATAATGTCAGTCTGGCATGAAATTGCGCCAAAAAGGCATTTTCATCTGCAGTCTCTGGCAGGGTGGTGGAGTAGAACAGGAAAAATTAATATACATCACATGATTTATAAAATACAAAATACCAATACAAATTTTCAATAAGCAACTGTAGAAACCACCGTTTTAGAGAAGACAAGTTTATCTTCAGAGAAGACAAACTTTTTGCTACATCTTAGTGTCTTCTCTAGTTAAAACTCTTGTGGATCAATTTTTAGATTTATTAATGGGATTACTTTTTAGTAGAAGAGGGAAAACCATGTAAAACAGAATATATTCCTTTAATTAAAGTTTTGCAGTAGTAGTTTTATCCATTACTTATTGTTAAAACATATTTTAATTGATCACATTATAGCCTTTCTGATTTGTATCTAACATGTGAAGGTAGATGGTTTCTAATGTCTAACATTATTCAAACTGATTTTAATTATTTTATGAACTTTTCAAACTTGGATTTTAAAAATAAGTTTTGATTTCACTATTACACCAACAGAGTCATACAGTCAAGTTCCTGAAACTATAGCATGTTAATCTGGATCTCGACTTAAACACCTAAAAAAAGAACATACATACAGTTTTATTGCCGTTAAGATGCAGACATGAGTTACATAACCAATCAGGGATCATAATCATTAACGCAGAAAATTCGTCTGGAAGTCTGTTGTTTGTTTTCTGCACATAAATATACAACTGTGTCATCTGCATATAGACGAATATGGTCAGAGCTGAATATACTTGAACACAATCAAATCTATATAAAAATGAACAATTAAATTGTAATAAATTAAAAAGCGGCAAAGCCTGAATGTATATGTTTTCCAAAACACTTAAGGAAACTTTAAAAGATTAACCAATAATCAGCTCCTTATAAGCACCGCCTACAAATAAGGGTTGACTGAAGACTTTTGAAATACTATGTGCAGGCATAAAGTTTGGTGTTTTTCAGGCTTTGTGGTTCGATGAACAAGTACTGAAAATAAACATATTTGTTAATGATTGATCAATTTAGGCAATTTTTTCATTTGTTTCCACAGTGGAGGTACCAATAATTGTAGCACTAGTAAATTTGTTGAAAATACACTTAGAGCAGGGTTTTTCCCTAGTAAATACTGAAAATGTTGAAAACATCAACATCAAACTGAAGCAGGCGAGAGCTTTGAACCTGTGTGTACTTTAATGAGTGATGCAGCGGACGCAGCGTCCCTGTCTCTGGACTACAGACACGGACACGGAGTGAGAAAAACAAAAACTGGTTTGGATCAAAGTGGATCACTTGGAGCTTGGCACGTACAGTGACATAGTCAGTTTAAGCACATACAACTTACAGACAAACACGTGTTATGTTTTCCTTATAAATCAGCTACAACACACACTTAAACGTTAGAGCTTAACACCGCTGATATTCCTTCAGACTTCCTCCCCTTCTTGCTCCAGATGTAGTGTGAGGAAGCATTCAGATGGAATCTGTTGCAACGCAAGAAAAGACATGAGGAGGTTTCTGCTAGCATGTTAGCATCGCCGACACAAACACACATGCACTGTGGACACGCTACTGCATGTACAAATCACACTCTCGGTGTGTTTTCTTTTTACAGTGAAACCTCTCTAAGACGCAGCCAAAACACTCATAGACATCTGTGCAAGAGCATCAGAGACACCTGTGGAACCATAAATTTTGGTTGTAAGGCATTAGTTTGTGGTTCCACAGATACAAGCTGATGTTGCAACTGGCCGTTTGCACAGTGGCTAGACAAGAGCCCGAGAAAAAGTATTTATATCCCTTTTTCCCTCCATTTTGCTACATTACAAACACAAACTTCAGCATATTTTACTGATGTTTATGTGATGTTCAATTGAGCCATCTTAATTTGACAACCCTAAATAAATCCAGAAGTCACCTGTGTGCTTCAGTCTCAGTGTGAATGCAGCTGTTCTGTGAAGGGCTCAGAGGTTTGTCAGGTTTCAACTACTAACCACTGTCCCTCCCTCTGCTGCTCTTTCTTACTGCTCTCCATTTTTCAGTATGTTCTCAGGTTTTTTTTTCCCTCTCCCTAGACATTTTACCTGCCTTGATGTTTTCTTTTAGCTGTGGAACTTTTCTTGAGGGTGGCCATCATCGACTGAGCTATGGCTGCCAAAACCTTCAATGTGCTCTTTCTGTAGATGACAGGTTGCAGTGGTTGGGACGCTTTTCTCCAGCAGGTACGGAGCAATCAGGAAGGACAACCTTCTACAAGTTGCAAAAGACTTGAGATCGAAGCGGACGTTTGGCCTTCCAACAGGGAAAAAGGCAATAAACCTACAACCAGATGCACCACAGAACATTTTGGATCATCAGCCCTGTCACAGTCTAGGTCAAAATCCAGCTGAGAATCAGTAGCAAGATTTGAAGACCAGTGGAGAGAGCTTGAGCTATTTTACAAAATAAAAAATTAGACAAAAATGTCTGCCTCAGGGCGGTGCTGTAACAGCAGCGCACGTTTGTTCTCGATTCAAACTCACCTCGCTTTTTAGATTCCATGGATCCTTTTTATGACCCCATAAAATCCCCAAACTGTTCAGTTTGTGGTTGCAACACCACAAAAGGAGAAAATGTTGAAAGGATATGAATACCTTTGCAAGTAATATTGCCTCCATTTAAAAACCTTCATTCAGTTTTATTTTAGCACCATGAGGGTCTCTCTTTCCACAGACAGTTCTTCCTTCAGATATATATATATATATATATATATATATATATATATATATATATATATATATATATATTTCTCAAAAAAATAAAGGGAACATTTCTCTTTATTTTTGTGTGTGGCTCCAAATCCAGGCCTCCATTGGTTAATAAATTTGTTTTCCATTGATGATTTTTGTGTGATTTTGTTGTCAGCACATTCAACTTTGTACAGAACAAAGTATTCAATGAGAATATTTCATTCATTCAGATCTAGGATGTGTTTTTGAGTGTTCCCTTTATTTTTTGAGCAGTATATATATATATGAATACAAATATCCTGGAAATAAGCAACTTAAAACCACAAGTAAAAGTCAAAAGCACAACATAAAGCAAGGCTTAACATCAATGTTACAGATTATAAAATCTTCATATATTTGTTTTCCTTTCCATTTTTCCACTATGGTCTGCATGAGCCGTGAGCAACCAAGAGTAAAAGGACCAACATGGGCCTTTTGTTTGTTCTCTCCTCACACACACACACACACACACACACACACACACACACACACACACACACACTCACAGTAAACACGTTGGGTTTAACAATACACAGAAATCAAAGTATCTGCAGCTGTTCCGAGCTGGGCTGAAGAGGCCAGTTCCCAGCCATCCAAGGCAAGTAAAACATCTGTGAGCAGTCTGAGTCCCTGTGGATGGAAGCAGCCGTCCGGTGACAGTAAATTGCACAGTTCAGGGATCCAGGAGCAGCACAGAACTGCTGCTTGGATTCTGTTTGTTAGTCTCCTTCATAGCCGTAGTTTGTTTTTGAAAATACGAGTCTGTAAGCGGCTCCTTTGCGTTTGTGTCCGTGAACAACGCCTCAAACCCGATCCTCCATGTCTCGTTTTCATTTCCACTTTGTCTCAAAGTCTCGACGGTTCTTTTGTAAACAAATATTTGCACCGACAGCTGTCCCCCTTCCCCCCTCACCCCCCAGCCAGTCAGGCGGCTGGTGGACGTCCTCCTTTGTCCGTGGGTCAGAGATGACGGAAGAAAGCGGATTTTTCTGGTTGCCGTGCCGCGGAGGTCGCCGGCTGAGTGTAGAGTCACTTCCTGGCGTGAAGGTTCTCCTGGAACTTGCTGCTTGTGTATCGGACGTGGAAGCCCTTCTTGCTGATCGTGTCGTCGCTATGGAAACGGATCAGCATGGCGTCTCCAGGGGAATAAATCCCTTCTCTGGGCTGAAGATGGAAAAACAGAGAAAAATCTGTTAAAAAAAAAAAAAAAAAAGAAAACGAGAAGAAAACGAATCCAACAAAGAATTGCGGTATGAAAAAGTAAGTACACCCTACCACCAACTTGTGGAAGCATCTTTAGCAGCAGCAGCTTCTACCAGTCACTGTTGTCTGATTTGATAAGTTTTACAGATTTCCTACTGTCTTATAATACTTTGTTTCAGTTCATTAAGGCTTGGAAAAATTTCTCTTTGCACACATCCCCTCAGGTCCTACCACAGCATTTCATTCAGGCTTTGATCTGGGCTTTAACTGGTCCACTATGATTCCTCTCTTTTCCACCAGTCTGCTGTAGATTTACTGTGCTGTTTAGGGCCGTTGTTCTGTTGGTGACCCACTCCAGGTAAACCTCATGATTGGCAATAGGATATTTTGTAATACAGTACAGTTTATGCTTTACTCATGCAAGGTGCACAGGCTGAAAACACAGCCCATATCAACACGCCTCCACCTCCATGCTGATCAGCTGGTCTAACACACTTTGTGCTCTCTTTAGTTTTCATGCATTATGACCAAACAGATCTACCTTGATCTCAAAGCTCAGTTTTTGAGATTGTTGCTTTGATTCTTTCATGCATGTTTGAGAAATTAGCAACCATTCAGCTGTGCAGAACGGTTGGACCAAGCCCCGCCTTCCAGGACAAAGCTCCTCCTCTGAGCTGCCGTTTCAGCGCTTCAGACTAGTCAGCAGCAATTAGCAAACACCTGTTTGGAATTGAGCATCGGCTGAGCTCATTAAAGGAGCTACTGCTCAGTAGCTGATAAAAACGTTGTTAAAGGGTTAATAGAGTCATGCTGTTATAATTTCCTGAAGGTGGAGCTTCAGAAAAAGCAGGAGTTTTTAAAGAGACAGTGGCCCAATTTCAAGGCGTTGAATTATGAAGTCAAATTTATTTTAAGTTGTGTTTGATAGGTTAGAGTTACTTGATTGTGCTGTGAAATGGTGGTATGTGTCTGGAAAATATATAATCCTGTCCCTTTAAAGAGTTGATCCGTTTGTCAAAGTTTGGTAACTTGACTGCTAAATACATAATGTTGGAACAGCTCAGATAGATGGCTCACTTCAAATATGTCAGTTACCAATGTTCCCATGTGGATAACAAAAATTCATTTTTCCAAAGTGAGACCAATGCTAAAAGATTAGAAAGTTTTGGCTTCGTCTGTGGTGGCAAAAGAAGTGACCACAAAACCACAAGGAGTTCAAACTTTAAAGCTCATTCCAACACAACAAACTCTAATGTTCTACATTTCTGTTTGAGTCACTGAACAGCTCTGACTAACAAATATGCAGTGAAGAACTGAAGTGAATGGACGTAATGAATTGGTTTATGCATCAATACCAAATCACATTTTCAACTTTCTTTAGGAAGAGAAAAAAAAGCATAGCTTCTGTGAAACTCTGACACTTCCTGAAAAATCCTAAATGAAGCTTACCCCTGAACCACAGAAGCGGCCTAAGCGGTGTGCATTGGCGTCGTATCCGTTGTACAGCTCGATGTAGTCATAGCCGCAGTCTGCTTCCTCCTCCACTTCAAAGGTTACGAAGCTGAGCTCGATGCCGTAGCCCTGCTCGGTGGTCAGTAGCCACTCACAGTCCGTGTGACCCGGGTAGTTGTTGTCTCCAAACTGGGAGTGGGAGTAAAGGTTTTTCTGACTGGCGTCCGCTTTCAGACGACCTCCACACTCTGAAGCACAAACAGACAAAGGAAAGTGAGCAGCCATTCGCATATCGTCACCTTCCAAAAATAATGTCCTATGTATTTTTTGCCAAAAGTGATTTTTTATTTATTTATTTTTGGTAAAAATGACCCTTTGGCAAAAAAAGAGGTGGTGATTTATTTATTTTGGAAAATCACTTTTGGCATAAAATGACTATTATTTTAGGAAGATGACAATGTCTGGATGGCATTGTTAAGAGTTTTTGTTTGTTTGTTTTAGATCTTCTAATAAATCATTTTTAGATTGCTTTACTATACACCTGCTTCAACAAACCACTAGAGGGAGATATTACTCCTTAGAACACCAGTTCACCAGTTACGGGGATTGATGCTCTGCACAAACTCCCACAGTGTTTTACATGGAGGTGTGTTTGTGGCGCCTTCTTTACCTGTGGAATGCGAAGCCTGGAATCCTTTCCGCTGCACCGAGGCATCAGAGATGAAGCGCAGGTACATCTTGTTCCCAGTGGAGACCAGAGGCTCCGGGATCTTGTTGCCGCACAGGCGGCCCAAGATGGCCGCTGCGTCGCTGTCCCCGTCAAAGGCCTCCAGGTGGTCGTAAGCACACTCCTGATGCTGCTCAATCTCAAACTCACTGAAGGCCTGCAGAGAAAGAGCAATCAGAGGAAGATGCCTCCACCACCTTCCTTGGATTTGCAACATTTTTAGTCAAAAGGCAAAGCTCTCCATTTACAGGTCGATCTACTTTCCTACTCTCACCTGTGGTCAGGAGCTTTGGGTAGTGACCGAGAGAACAAATTCACGGATACAAGCGACCAAAATGAGTTTCCTGTGCATGGTGTCCGGGCTCTCCCTCAGAGACAAGGTGAGAGCCTCAGAACATCCGAGATGGACTCAGAGTAGAGCTGCTGCGGTGGCTTGGGCCATGACACCTCCCTGATGAAGTGTTCTAGGCACGACCCATCAGGACGAGACCCAGGGCACACTGGAGGGGTGGGCTGGTTTTTAGTTTGTAGGTTGATTGGTGGGTGGGTGGGTGTTTGGGATGGATGGATGGATGGATGGATGGAACCATTATGATCATTATTTTCTACATTTGTAGTCTAGCTCAAACAAACTGCTGGACTGGATATAATTAACAACAAATGAATCTCTTTAGGTTACAAAACTTCACGTCAAATATTCAGAACAGGTGCAGAGCTGTGCCACTGTGTCACTGGTCGATGAGCCATATTTCCAGTTGCATAAGCAGAAAGGCAGATTACACAAACGAATGGGAAGTGGATGGTTAATATGAAATCCTGCATTGAGACTCACGTGTAGCTGCAGCGTCAAAGTAAAGTGGGAATGCAAGTCCTGATCTACAAACTGTGATCTATTTATGCTGAATGTGTGTTTGTGTGAGTGTAGACAATGTGTATGTGTGTGTGTGCGTTTGTGCTTACAGGAAAGCCTTTTGTGTGGTTACAATAGAATATCAATGCACTTTTAAGAGGATTATGTGAAGTGCACAGTAAAAAGCGACCATGTTCTCGACCGCTTAGACCTCTCTGCCTATAATACACACAGAACTATGCAGATGTTTTTAGGCATCCCAGTTTCTGAAAATATTTGCTTCTAAGAAGAAATCCATCATGTGTTTTAGAGGTCTTCTCCAGATTTCTGTTTTACTTTTGATTGCTTGTCCACTCATATTCAGAGCCGTTACTGATTTTAGAAGACTGTCTTTTAAGTGTTTGTTAAACCTGTTAAATCTGTCCCATACACTGAGGCGTGAAAATGTTCCACCTCTTCAGAGATGCGTCTATACAACATAGACAAGTTTCCACGGAACCAATTTTCAAACATATTGTTGCAAAGGCACCATTTCTTTTAATTTATTTAGCTGAATTTG